CTCAATACACAGCATGTAGCATCATCAATAATTACATAAGCCAGCAGCAGTGCAGCATAATTAATACAAAAAATCTCTTCCATTTATTCATAAAATACACAATTAAAATGCTCTAAATAGATCCATGAATTAAGGGAATCTGAAGTAGCAGTAAAAAAATAGTTCAAGATAAGAAAACAGAATAAAAATTCACTGCAGGCATCATCAATTATGCTTCATTTCATATGATTACAGTAAGAAGAGCGTACGCCAGCACAACATTTTTATTTTCATACTTTTTTTTGATAATTAATGTGAAGTTTGGGAAAGTTCTTGAGGCATAACGTAGCATATAGCAAATTATGCATTTTGAAGAAGCCAGAAATGCAAGAAAGGAGATGAGATGATGACCCTTAAGAGAATCTTGGATGAGGTTTAAACTGAGCTCGAAACTGACTCGAGATTTTTATCAATTTTGTCTGGCAGAGGCGACTCCAAATCGACTTCACTCCATACAAAAATTAATCGACTTCGAGCTCTGGATTTAGAATGTTTACAAATGATAATCACCAAACATAGGATTTAAGACCCTCAGAATTTTACAAATTGGAACTAAATCTCCACATGAGAAAGCATAAAAACTCTCAGAACGTAAAGACCATAATAAAGACGCGATCGAATAATTTTCAATCCAAAAACTTTTTATTTTACATAATTTTATGCATCAAATGCATTCTTTATGCATCAGCTGGCACCGAAAAAAATCGCTCTTCTTTTGCAGCTTCACATTTTATATGATCATTGATTAATGGCATTTTATGGTTCACCTTATCATCGTTACGATACTTTTACATTCAACAAGCACATTCCGGCACATCTTGCCTTCATTATTTCCCATTATTTATGCTGCTTTTCCGTCTCATGTACTTCAAAAATGTTAGGCTTTGCAAAAAAAAATATCTAACGTTTATAATTGATGACTTTCTCAATCGAATGATTATCATCTGCTCGATACTCGGTGTGTGCATGTATGTTTGTGAATGATAAAGAAAACTGAACTGGTATTTAACACTTCACCATCTGCCGCACGTACAAAATGATTGTAATTATTCTTCGGTACTCTTGCTACTTCTTGATGTGATATCAGCGAGAATTGTGGATGCTTTTCAAGTTGTGGATTGTTTGGTATTGAAATTGAAGTAGTTGTAAAGCATTTTAAATTAAGCTCAGATGTTTGATTAGTGGAATTAAAAGTTTTTGTATGAACCATTTATTGAGGTATCGTAGAGTAGTTTATGTGGATATAAGTGCTGCTCTCATCTTAAGTCCTGAACTTTTTCAGTAAAACCAATTAAAAATTTACCACTTAATAAGCCACACTAAGCACCCAACGACTCAACTATATAAAAATTTTGCACTATAAAAAATTTATGGAATCAAACATGAAGTGTAAGCAACAGTAGCTGAGTGATGATTTATTTTTTACGATAAAATATTCCTTTCACTTTCTATTTTTTTTTTTTTCATTATTAATGAGAGATAACTTTTTACTGTTCGTCTAATAATAGATCAGATGACGAACATGATAACAGTTATTAGTATAATAGCTGATTATATTGTAGAATGAGAGCATACTGTCTCGTGGAACTCAATTTAATTTTAAATTCTAAAGACAAACAAGTACTGCTTCAAGATTGTAATTTAATGATAAGAAAGTCAATATTTCAATGGAATGAAAGAAGCAGTTTATCTTTCTGTTAACAAGACTTATGCTTGGCGTGTGGTTAAGAGTATTAACAAGATATGAACGCTTGTAGTTTTAATTCCAATAATGATTGCGCATGATATGAGGAATCATTAATTAACGTTATCTTTAACCAGATCCAGCAGCATAGCAAAGGCTTTTGTCGCCTGGACCAAATTATTTATCTGAGCCCTTAAGTGTGAGACTTCACAACAGTAGCTACTTATCTAGAATTCCAAAAATGTAGAGCTCGAAGTCGATAAGGTTCGAGTCGACTCGAGTTGACTCAATTCGACTCAAAACCGAGTCGAATCAACTTTTCTTGAGTAGACTTTATTTTCTCGGAGTCAACTCGAGACGACTTCGAGACCTGCAAAAATGGCATTTGAAGCTATTCTGTCAAGTTAAATAAAACAAATTCCAGCCTATGCAATATATAACTCCTCTCTGCTCTTTATCAACGTTGAAATTTGTTAAGAATCTCATTCATATTCAAATCACAAACGGAAAAGATTCACATTTTTTTTATCTCCAATCGAACCATCAATCTTCATCTCACCATTATTGTCGCATTTTTCACTTAAAGCCAACATCATTATTTATTTGCTAAATATCTCATTACTTACTTATATGATAGCTTATATATGGAATGCGTGTGGAAATCTCTTCTTATTATTTTTTATCTCCTCTCATCTTGACGTGCAGAAACAAATCAGAGGAAGAAGACGATGTGTAAAAAAAATCAACAATCTATCCCCATTCAGCATTCAACTTCTCAGTTACTTTTGAAGAAGAAATGAAAAGATTTATTTTTCATCATTATCCAAAATAATAACAACACTCAGATATAGAGAGGAGCACATACAAGAGAAAGGAATAAAAAGCATGTAAGAATGAAAGATGATTTTGATTGTCAAGTGATGCGACATGAATATCATCAATATTCTTTGCATAAAGTGCTTATCTTTATTCCCTCGATGTCTCTTCACTCTCCTACTTCCATATATTTTTCTTTATATTTTATGCATTCTTCTTTTTTTCTTGGCTTGTGGATTGGATCTCTTGTGAATGAAAAATAGAAAAATATTGCTACTCTTAAGAGTTGTTCAAAAGTGACGTCCTTAATAAAATGGGATTTTTAGAAACTAACCCTCTGCTGCCTCTGCTCCTCATGCTCTCCCTTGCTCCTCCTTGCCCCTCCTTGCCCCTCCCTGCTCTCCCTGATCCCTCTGCTCCTCCCTCGTAAATACATTTTTTCTTCTGTTTTAAAGTATCAGGCCTGGACACCAACATGTATGAACGACCCGAAAAGATTAAACCTTGCCCCAGTAATTCGGACAAAAATCCGCTCATAATTGACCATATAACAACCAGCACCGCTAATTTATCATCAATACTCTCAACTCATAACAAGACCAATTCAATGTCAATAACATTTGAGTTAAAATTGAAGCACAAAAAGAGAAAAATTGTTCCATTTCGCGAATAAGATGAGTTCTTTATGCTTAACATTTTCCTTTGTGCTTACATGAAGAGATCAATTTAAATGTAAAATAATATATCTATAGAGATTCATTGTTGTAAGATACAAATTTAATGAAAATAAGCGATGAAAGCTGATGAATAGATATGGATGTTTTTTCAGATGGAAAGTGGATCATTAACTTTGTTAGATGGATTATGGAGACATCAAGGAGTTTCTATTGTAGATTTGTAATTTATCTGAAATTAGAGATCAGTAAAGTATGAGGTCAAAAGTTTTTGATGACATTGCCAAAAATGTTGAGTGAAAGAAAGTTTTACAGCACATCCAGATCAGCAATTTTTACTACATCTGCATCTTGCAGTAAGTACAGCAATGCAGAAACTAATTACTCTACCATACTTCTAATAACTACCCATAAATATCCATGAAATTAAAGAATAATCCGTTCATCGCTATGCAATTTATCATGTCCAATTTATTCTCCACCCGGCAACAACCACAACGCAACGTGCACAAGACACTTTAATTCAATTCAGCATTTTATTGCACTTGAAAGAAATTCCGCTCCTTACATCGTTTACTATGTAAGGCAAAGAGGAACTAATGGATGTAAGAAATTTCTGATGAATTTGAATAATGTTGCAGCTGCCCTCATGTATACGTACATACACTTGCTATGCTGCAATAAAAAAAAACCATGAACAATGTAATGCTGTAAGATAGGATGGCTGAGAAGAACATTTTAATTACAAAAGTTGCTTAATTTATAGCTTTAAGTTTCTTTTACGACTTGTTCCTTATGACTTTTAAACTTTTAATCTTAATGACCTGTAAGTGCGGGTGAACCCTCTCATTTCCTCGCTTTTTCAAGAAGATTGCAACGAGAGTAAAAGTTCTTCATTTAGTACTTTATGAATTATAAAGTTTTTAGATGAATTTAAAGTGCATGAAATGCATGACTGTAAATGTTTTAAGTGGAAATAGAAAGTGTTGAAAATTAAAATGGAATTTGCATGTTTGAATTAAGGTTGAGGTAAAAATGTTTTAATTCAATCAATTTTAATCGCATCTTTTAAGATTTGAAAGGTAAAGGACAAAGCTAAAGTCTCACGAGATCAAAGAACAAGAAGACAATGTTTGGATAAAGAAATTGTAAAAAGATTGAAATGGTTAAGCACATGGGATATCTTTGGCATTGTCATACAAATAGGTTAAAAACATGAAAGACCATATCTTAGCTTTCAATCGTCAGGTTTGGAGTTTGGATCCTAATGTCTTTTTGTATCTTGTAATATTAAATACACACGTGATTTTTTGCCATCCACAAAGTCTGCTTTAGTACTTTTAATAGCGGGGCGTCTTGTGAGCATCTGAGCACTGTCTGATTACTCTTAATAATAAAAATAATAATAATGTGAGAGGGTTCCAGCCAAGCGATGTGTTACTACACGTTGCGACGAGCCGGATGCACTGCGATTCTGATCGATGATAGAATCTACTGTAACGTTCCCTATGAATGAGTTTAGATAGTATTAAGTAGCTGTTTACTCTTACTCTGACAAAAAAGCCTCCATTTTGTTCAATGTGCAAGATTTCACTATATTCTAGAGATTTTTCAATGCCTGACAATCTTAACCCTAACCTTAGAAATAAAATACTCACAAAGAGCTTTAATTACCAAAGCATGTGAGCAAATAACATGAAATCCACATTACAAACACACGCTTACTTTTAGGTTATTGCCCCAAAAAAATGAACTATAATGACTATAATACAAAAAGAATAAAATTTTCAATTTTGCTGTAAAAATTTCTTCTTTTCTGCTGCTTCGTGACCAGAATTTCGTTTACCACTAAAACGAGAACAAGCAAAAATTTTGTTTTAAAATTGCTTAACACCATAAAAAGTGTCAACGTTAAGCATAAAATTTGCATAATTTTGTAGCACCCCATCACTAAAACTAGACAATTATCTACTTGCAGTGTGATTGCACAGCAGAAAGTTACGTGTTTAGGACATTGAAGTGGCATCATTAGGAAGAAATTACATGCAGGAATTGATGCAAAATCATCATGATGAGTTATGTCGTTATTTATAAAATGGTTTATTCTAAAATGCTGCTCCTAACCACATGTGTCGAAATTTTGTCTCCAAAAATTTTACAATCGTTCCATGCGTATAGAATGCTAGAGCTTAATATCAATGCAAACAATGTAATACGAAATTACATGTACGAGGCTTAATCGGGGATGCTTATAAATAGAAATGTCTACCTACTGCTGCTACAACCACCACCATCAGATGTCCAATTCAATATTTCCATTACCTCCCACTAAAAGGACAATGATTCATTTTGTATGAGTCGTACATTTTATGTGACCAACATCATGTGTATAGCACATAATATTTCCTATTTTACTTTTTTTTGTATGCTCATCGTCGGTTACCGAATGGATTTTATGTCGACACACGCACATTCAATTCCTCTTGACATAACTTTTAATGTCTGTTGTCCATTTTTGATGAAATTACAAATTTTTATGTTTACATGGATGCTTTTATATCGTAAGGTATATCACGACGCATAGACACTTCTTTTAATATGTGATTTAATGACTTGGTTGGTCAAAAGATTATTATGAATTCTTTGCAGCTATAGTTTAATGCTGATGATGCTGAATTCTTAATTAATTGAAATTGTTTATGTGGTATGAAAAGATGCTCAGGTACAATCTAGTCATATGTTTCCAGGGAAGAATCAGCAACCAGAAATGGTCTCAGTAATAAAATACTTTTGTGAGGGTTCTGCTTGAAACAAAAACGGCACTGTATTCGACGATCTATTGTACCATCTTAAGTCTTCTATGATGTAATTTCTATGTCCTTAATGAAACCAATAATGTCCAGATAATGCTGCTTACGTGTATCGTCATCATTCAAATAGTGTGAATAACTTCTAACTATTGCTATTCCGACCTAGCTGCACATTTTATGTATTAAAATGGTAATTATTTTTTCAAAAGTTGGGGTTCAGACTCTTTACACAAACTTATACTTAAAGCTCTTAGTGGGATCCAAGCTAAGTACTCGTGTAGTGACATATTTGTCTGCAGTAGCTCACAAATGGTAACTGTAAGTTTAATTTCTAGTACAAGCAGCATCATTATAAATTTCCATGTTGAGTTTTGAACTCATGACAGCAGTGTCAATATTGCAATAATTTGATAATGCAGTGTTAATTTATTTCACCACTGAGCCACTTCAGCTCACATATTTAGAACTGCAATACCCTAATATTGAGTATTCTAGGATCTGCACCACGTCGAAGAAAGAATTGCAGAAGAAGTGCATTTTTGATTTGAGTTCAATTTAAAGTTCCTTTAATAAACCTTAACCCCGCCAAAATGTATGACCCTAGTCAACCTTAGTGCTACCGATTATCAGAACGATTGTTCCACGCGAGATCTTCTTACAGACCCGTTTTCAATAAAATTATAAATCTTATTTAAATTTTTTTTAAAAATTGGAGCCCCTAATGCAGCACAATGAATTTTCATGAAAAATTTTTTGCGCATTTTATGAGCCATTATGTTGAATTCATTATCTCCATAGAAGCATCAAATTTCGGCAACAAAGAAAAGAAGCAGTGAAATAAATCCCCAATGTTTTTAAATTTAATGCAGCCAAATAAGAGAAAAATGCCCACATGTAAATATAAACAAAAGCATCAGACATTGTTTCAAAACAATAAGCACAACATTGCAGCATCAGAATTAAAGAGATTTTTATGCTTCTCTCAAAATTTGTTTAACATTGTTGAATTCCTCTAAAGCAGCACATAATTTTTGTTAGAATAACATAAAAATTTCTCTAAATGCCATTTCCTTAAGCAATATATTAACTTTTTTATCGCCGCTCACTATGTACATGAGAACGATTTTCAATGGCAAAAATCTAGAATAAAACGAAAATTTATATATTTTATAGCAATAATACAATCATTCAATCATTTCTCCTTCTACCGAAGATCTTTAGTGCAAATTTATTTTTTATTGCTTTATAGCACCATCTGTCCGACATACATCTCTCTTTTGCACGTTCTTGTGCGATTATAAACTTTTTACTTTTCTTTTTTACTTCCCCTTTTTATTTTTTCTAGTGAAACGGAAATAAAATTTTACGATAACGCGTATGGAAATTAAAATAAAATTTTATGACATTGCTGATTTTTTTTGTTGTTGTGTGATCACTTTATTGTATTTCGGCGATTAAGGTGATTGCAATTATTGTGTTTATAGAAATCTTTTTTACGGGATGTTGATTTTTCGGATTAGAAATGTTTTGTCATTTTTTTTTGACAATTTTACTTGTCGGCTGATCATTTCTTCAGATTATTGTAATTTTTTTGAACAGCTTAACATTGATTTTTATTTAAAATCTTACAGTTTGCCTATATAAACTTTTTTCAGAACCAATTTTCGCTTAAGTCTTATAATGAACCAGTTTTGAGTTTTGTGTATCAAATCGAATGATTAAAACACCAACATCCTTTCAAAATCAATGTCCGTAATGCTAACAGATAAACCAAACTATCATATGTGTTCCCAGCGATATCCGATCCATAAGAGTTCACTAGAATTCCGAACCCTACTTGGCTTTCAAATAGCTGCTACCCTGTGTCCCATGGACCGTTGTGTCACTAGAACTCTTATGTTTAAGGCGTAAACGCTCGGGATTAATTCCAAAAATTCCAGCGTTACTTGTCCTCAAACTTAGAACCAAGCTTAAAATCCCTTCCTTTTGTTGATGAATAATTGAGAGATTTCAAGTAAGATTCGAAGTTTGATGGCAAGATTAAACCAGAACGCTTAATAATCAAGCTACATACTGAATCGAAATCTCCTATCAAACAACCTAATCACGAATTGAAGAGAGGTCAAATCTCTGTTTAACAGACTCGGTCCACGAGCATCCTAATTTATGGATCTACTTACTCCAACATCTATTTTTTTTTTCTTTAATGAATGAGAATCGAACCCAGGTCTTTACAAAGAATTTCTTTTGATTTTCAACTTGTTGCTTAAACACTTGAATAAACTTCTGTAATGCTCTTAAGTTAGCCTCAGTTTTTGGTGAAGAAAACTTTTAATAAATCATAAAATATATCCCACAGTGTAAAAAACTATAAATTTGTAATCAACTGCAACTAATGTAAACTAAGTGTCTTTAACCATACCAAAGGTGTTTACTAGTACTTAACGAAAATTGGCCTATCTATAAACATTATTAAGAAAACCCTATTAAACTTCCATTTATTATCGATATTTCATATACCTACGACCAAAAGAAATGATTAAGTCAATTTATGTACTTTATCCACTTTATCCAATAAAACCCAAAAGTTACCACAATGATTTAGGCATTGAACACACCAGTAACATAAAATATGAGTAATGATCAGATATGTCTCATCACAAAAAGACATTAAACTTTAATATTATGAACAATCTTGGAAGGAAATGACAACAAAGAAGTCTGTAATTCAAGTGAAAGAAGAAAACGAAATGAAATTTATCATAAGCAGTGCCAGTGCGTTGTGTGGAAGCACATGTTTTTAATAGACAATTCATTAATTTATGACCTTAATATTCTCTCTTTTATACTTGATTTGAAAATAAATGCCATTAAAGATATTCGGTCGCTTACACATTCTTTTGTTTCCGCATTTTCTCTCCGTCACTTTATGCTCGATAAATGCGCCAACAGCAATACAAAAATCTGACTACAACATAATTATGCTTAATTATTTCACATCAATATGATGAGCTTAAGACGTTCGATATTGTTGCTGCTCTTTCAACTACTGTACATTAGACTTCTCATGTTTAGCTTGTTGTTTCATTAGAGATAATATCCAGTGCCATAAATCATTCGATGTAAAAACAAAATATTTTTTTTCCTAGCAACCGAAACAGGAACATATATTTGGAGTTAGATGCAGCTATTACAACTTTGACGGAAAGTTTTTAAATTGCTGTAAATTTCATGTTGATTGCTAATTCGATTATGCAGTGCATACATCTTTTCGTCGCATAACAGTTGTGATACGTAAAATTAATGTCTAACGACAGCTCCACGCTACACGAATTTTTTTCTGCACAACAGTTGAGCCTTACAAATTTATTACCGCACAACAGTTACATGCCACATAAAGTAATTCCATTAACAAAAGTTGCGCGCTACATGAAATTATTTATGAAGCAACAGCTGCATCCGATATAAAATTATTCTCTGAACAACAGTTGCGTGCCACATAAAATGATTGTCTGCTCAACAGTTGTGTGACATATAAAATAATTCTCTGAACAATAGTTGCATCCCATATAAAATTAATGTCTGCTCAACAGTTGTGTGCCACATAATATTATTATTTGCTCAACAGTTGCATCCAATATAAAATTATTCTCTGCACAACAATTGCGTGCCACATAAAATTATTATAAGCACAACAGTTGCGCACCACATAAAATGAATCTAAACAACAGTTGCGTGCCATATAAGATTCCCAAAATAAAAGTTATTTTAATGCGCTCCAAACCAAATTCAACTTACAATTTTCTTCAATTAATTTTTCTCGACTTCTGTAATAATGTTCAATGCAAACAGACAGAAAGATACAAGAATTGATGGAATGAAATCTGTTCATTCACTATTTTTTCGGCATGTTTTCTCTTGAACAGCACCAGGAAGAGAATCAAAAGAAATAAATCTAGTGGAGATAACTGACACATTTTGTTTAAATGTTTCTTTCCTTTTTTTCTGAGATATTATTAGTAAAGTGATTAAGTGCATGCATTTAATGCTATTGAGGAGATGATTGTCGAATATTTTCTTTTCTTTTACATCATGTAATGCTGCTAACGATAAAGTAAAGTGAGGGGAAGAGGCTGAACTAAAATTGTTGTTTCATTATGATTTATGTCGATGAAAATCTCACATTTTTTGTGACTGACTGCTTAAAATTAATGCTTAGCATTCGGAGGTTATGGACTGAGATTTCTATTTCTTGAAGTTATTCACTTATGCTGAACAGCATCATTAAATGAGTTTTGGAGCTAGTTCGAGAAACCTAGTTCAGACCTTAAAATCTCAACGTTTTGTGGACGTCATTTTTAAAAATCTTTCAAATTTAATTCAAACCTTAAAACCTCTTAAAACATATCGAAATATTTGCATCAAAATAAGTACTGCAAAACAAATTCTTGAGAATTGTTCTCAATAAAACAAGATATGAAAGGATCACCGATCTTCATACAGAAGCGAAAATACCGTCCATCGAAGACTACGTCGGAAAGTTGCAAGCGAACTTCAACAGTCGTCTTGCATCTCAATACACCGAATAAATCAAATGAAATACAAAAGAAAGTAAAATCCGTAAATGAAATCAAAATTAAGAGACAAAAGGCAAATTGAATGCCTGAAACCTTAAAACAAAAAGCAACAAAATGTAAAGAAACTTTGTACATACTTAAATTTAAATGTAAATAAATAAAAAGTTTAATTTAAAAAAAAAAAAAAATTTGCATCAAAAATATTTACAAATCAACCGCTGATAAAAATTCAATCTCGCTATAAAAAAAATGGCATCTGAAAAATGACCAAAAGCTATAATTCAATTAGCTGAAAATAAAAAAAAAATCTGACGATGATAAAAAGCATACATCAACGTAAACTGTCAGCATGATAAAATGGGCGAAATTCAATAAATTTACTCACATTTTATGTGGTTCGTGATAACATTATCATGACACTTTCATGCGATTCACTTTTTTTTACTCTCTCGCTGTTGATTTATTCCCATCGATTTAACTCCATGAAAATTTATTTATGAAAATTAACCTTTTATAGCTTGCTGTTCTTTTTATATTGCTCGTGTTTTGCTCTTTGGAATTCATCCTTTTCCATCATGTTGATATTTTTTATTCAGTTTTTGTGCTGGTGCAATAAACACTTCTAGATTGTCTGGATTAAGTTGTTCATTTTAAGTTTTGGTATGAAATTTTCGATCGGCACACATTGAAATTCATTGAAATTTGCCGGGCGGCAAACATTTCAATGTGTGCCGATCAGGTTACTGATTATCGACTATAGTCACAAGAACAAAGCAACTAAAGTACTTGGTTGTAATTCATCAAAATCAAAATTGTAATTCTCTGTTTACATGAACCTATTGTTATGATCTTAGCCAAGAAAGGATGTGGTTTTACGTACACTATTGCTCCTTGCAGCAATGAATCAACATTTTATATAACCTAATCATTGCCTTGCCAATCCCTCTTCCCCTTGCACCCTCCACTATTCTTCCAACTTCAATTTACCATTTTGAAAACTTGAAACCCATCAGTACCACACTAAAAATGAACTGCAAATTCCTACATCCATTCACCCTTTCAGATCATATTGTTGTTTTGTTCTTTTATCGCATAAAAATGTAGATTGAAAGTGAGAAAAAAAGCGAATAAAATTAATTTTATTTGCAATTCCATTAAAATGCAATGCTGAACAGAACACGTACTGCTGTACTGTATACGATATTGATGGTATTTATATGTTTTGAATATTTCAGACTACAAAAAAATTTATTTAAATAATCCTTTATTAATTCATTCACATGCATATTCATATTAATGTAGCAACATGATTTTTGGGTTGAAAATTTATTAAAGGAGGGGTTAAAGGATTTTGTATTGATCATGAATAAAATATTTAATTAACACAAATAAAGCTGTAACTAGATTTTATTAAAATGAGGCTCAATTTATTAAATTATTACACTATATTTTAGACAACAAAAATTTCCAATGTTTTCTTTATTCTATGTTTACACAACGGATTAGCATAGAACCAACACAGCTCCAATATAAAAATAATAAAAGTAATTAGCAAAGCAACAACCATGATATAAAATCCGTATAATACTTCAGCAAACGATGACTGATTTGTAACCGATACAATTTTATGTCTATATGTTTCAAGCTTCAAGCGATACTCAGATTCCTCGAATGAGTGCTTCATAATCCCATTTGACAATAGTTTTTGTAAAGTTTCATCAGCTAATTGATACAAAAAATTGTGCTTCATAAAGTAATAGCTGGAAAGTGTTGAATATAGATTCTCTTGTAAATATTCATTTTTGCTCTGAGTATGAAAAATAAATGCTTTCAAGATACTGTGAAAATTGCAAAACGCTATCTTAGCTGAACTATCATCAATGTTCTTCAAAATGGATGTTTGGAAAGTGTTTTGGTCATCGTAAATGATATTAGATCTATGGAAAAATTAACAAATTTCTGATAACCATATATCTTTAGCAGAAGAACGCTGTATTGGCTCAAATTAGGGATGGTAACTCGAAAGTCGTTGGTTCGAATCCAGCCCTTTCCAAATTTGTTCTTTTTCTGAAATTTAGATACTTCGACTGCTTAATGTACGAGATCAAGCCATAATTGGGCATTTGGGCAACGTTGGATTAAGGAACGAGTCAGGAACTTGAAGTGTAGCGGGAGAAATAGGAACGAGAGACACAAGATTACCCACGAATGGAATATTGTTAGAATAAAGTATCACGCCACGCCCACAAAAGATCGAAACGAGAGCCTTAGTTTATATGAAGCCTAGATTTGAAGATTGGAAGTTTGATCCTACATAATACTAATTCATATGTTTACAAACACAAAAGTGTAAAATATGAATTATTACCGGACAGTATGTCGTCAATAAATGCAATAATGCGCAATTAAATGAAAAAAATTGCAGCCCTGAATCACATGTGATCTGAATAGTAACAAAGAATTTCAAAAAGATTCAGAGCTAAAGATCATAAATTGTCAAAATTTGGTAATAAATATTTAAAATCACTTACAGTTGTTCCTTTGGTAAAAATCTTTCAAGTGAAGTCTCGATCAAATCTATTGCATGGATTGAATAGAATCTCATGTGCAAATCATGGAATGATCTTGGAAGTGGTTTCCGAATATCAGTAGTTGTTGTCTTAAACAGGACACCTTGATATGCAGTTCGGATCACCAAACAGAACAGAATGAATGTTATGAGAATTAGTCGTGGAAAGTTCCTTAATGGAACTTGCGTTTGTGGGATCCCGAAGAAAATTGCAATTGTATTTTGTGCAGGTGTCATTACATTCTCACCACAAAATGTGTGTTGAACTCTTCGTGGGAGCTTGTTGACTATAAATACCAATAAAAATGAACATCCTAAGACGGTTAACAATACAATTCATATCATAAAGTCAAATGAAAAGAGAAGTTTTTCATATGAATGGTAAGACTCGCTTGGAGTGAGAAGACACGAAACTTTTTCTTCTCTAAATAAAGTCAAAAAATGTAAATCTTGTTCAACAGCCGAAAACATGAAAACTGCTATTTGAAGTTGAGCATTATATTTCATGATTATTCCATCCTTAGGAATATTTTCAACACTATTTGGACCGAAATAAATTAATTGATAAATGTATGTAAAGTTGCCAGTATGTGCCATTACCTTAAATAGATCCACAATCTGTCCAACAGGCTTAGAATTAAATCGATCTATAGTCGTCATCATGTAATTAGCTTTTAATCTGATAGTCAACATACAACCATGGATTTGTTTGAATTTTTCATCAATTACTAGATCTTTGATCCATGTTTTGGATTTCTTGTCGAATGTATTTAAATTTATAAAGTCCAAATTGCTGCAATTATTTTCTCTGTACCATTGAAACGTAGCTAAGTCCAAGGAAGTTGTATGATTAATTAAAATGTACTCAAACATTGAAATATATCCTTTACTATCAGTTAATGATTCTGGAACCATTAATCCTCCACTGATAGTTTCATAATATATCAAGAACCTTATAGGATGCGAAAACTTGCTATCCAAACTTGAATTTAAATTCAATTGATTTAAAATCTGATCACTTTTGACGAAAATCACTGCTGCAGCATGCTGATTTATAAATCTTATGATCCCACAATTCAGGTTGTATTGTTTGAATCTTTTCAGCAAAATTTCCATTATTTTTCATTTCAATCATGTTGATTATGTCAAATGAATTCTTCGACAGGTTCCCATACATCAAAATATCAAAATGAATTTGTTTCTTAATGAAAAGTTCCTGAATTATATCATTCATTGCCAAGGATATTATTTCAAGATCAAGAGACATAGAACTTATGGCAATATGGAAAGAATACAGCAATAAAATTGATGATTTCATTATTTTTTAAAATTTATTCACATAAGTCTTTTTTTAAGTATTTGTTGATTGAAGCAGTTGCAAACTAGATCTCAACGTGAACAGACCTGTTTACAAATCGCTCCGCAAATTATTCAAAAATCTCAAAAGAAACAAAACAGAGACTACCTGAGAAGCTTTTTGTTTGCAAAAAGTTTCAAAATCTCAGTTTGATTCTCAAAACATCAAAATGGTAGCATCACCAAAAACTACCAACAACGAAGAAAATCTTTCTCAAAATCAGCATGGACTTAATAGTTCTCAACAACAACATTCATCTTCAGTGACAATTCTCAATATTGAGGAAATTTTCAGTGAAGATGTTTCACAAGCAGCCGACATTGAGATGACAAATCTCAAACCAAAAAAACAAATATCAATAAAGAAGTTTCTCAATGAAGCAAGTAAAGCAGAAAAACGCCCTCGAGAAGTGATAGTTCCCAACACTCTTTTAAAAAGAGTAGCAAACGAAAGCAAACCAAAAGATGGGAACAAACCACTGTTCGTACTCCCACCAGTGAGGAAAGCTTCGTCTTCTGGAGTACCGTATCTATTTGGTTCACCAGAACAGGAGAAAAAAAGATCGACAACTTCTTCGTACTGGGGAGAAAACAGCAAAACATCAGAGCAACAAAAGACAATTTCCGTAAACACGGAAAGCAACAACAACAAATCTCAACAAAAATCAAAACCACCTCCAATTGTCATCAGCACAGGAGGAGCTGGTGAAATCAAGAGATTGACGAATGAAATAAACAATCAACCTGGAAGTTTCTTAATTGAGACCAAAAAGGGCAAACAAGGAACAAAAACGGTAACAACGGAGAGTTGGGATTACTACGAGAAATTCATCCAACTACTCAAAGACAAAAAGCATCACTTCCACACATACTCCAGCCAAGAACCACTGAAGAAGTACGTACTCTATGGACTCCCAGATATGGAAATCAGTGAGTTGGAGAAGGAACTTCAAACCGTAAAAATCACACCAGTAAAAATTGTCAAAATGACAATGAAACACAAAAGACACGAACAAGACGACGACCAGAACTACCTCGTGTACTTCAAAAAAGATGTAGAACAAGGTGGAAATTTCCTGGAATTCCTCAGAAAAATCAAAATTGTCAGCAGTTTCAAAATTAAATGGGCTGACTACAAAAATAGACAAGCTGGACCATCTCAATGTTCGAAATGTCTGCAGTTTGGTCATGGACAAAACGGTTGTAACAAACCGTCCGTTTGCTTCAGATGCTCTGAGCAACATGACTCGAAAACGTGCCAGTACATATCGAAAGAGACCAACAAGGTTCCACTCGGAAAACTCAAATGTTTCTTCTGCGGTGAAAAACATACAGCAATTTTCACAGGTTGTAAAACCAGACAAGAAATAATTGAAAAATGGAAATCAAAATCACAGAATGGAAACAACCAAAATCAAAACAAAACAGCAGGCCATTATTCATATGGACAACGGAGAAACAATCCTCCAACACCGCATCGTCCTGAGAGATCAACCAGAAACGTCCAACATGCACCAAAACCTCAATGGAGAAAGGAGTATATGGAACCATCAACATCTGGTACACAAAAGCCTGTTCATCAAAAACAAGTTCCAGTCAACCACAAACCAAGGAACACAAATCCTCCTCCAAATCACAAACCCTCAAATCAGGGAAATAAAAATAACTTGAACAACCAACAAAACAATAAAGAAAGAGGAAAACATTGGAAAAAGAATCAAAGAAAAAAGCAAAACGAGCGCATTAATAACAATCAACATCAAAAACCAAAGCAAGTTGTTGAGCTTATGGACTCAGAAGACATCAGTGCAACAAGTCAGACCTCGAATGAAGTCTTCCCAGAACCTTCATTCAGTGTTGAGGTAGTGAATCGAAGCATAACAACTAATCAACAAGCTCAAAGCACCAGCACAAGAGATAAAAACATCTCAGAAATAGAGGAATCAAAGTGCAAGTACCTTATCAGCGAGCTTCTCAAATTAATCGCCAAAAATCCAGAGTTCATCGACGAAATACTCCAAGCAATCGGCTCAAGTGCCAAAAACACCGCATACAATAATGGATTGTAGACAACAAAGTATCAACGTCCTCTACTGGAATGCTAACGGCCTCACTGACAAAATGTTAGCATTTCTCGACTACCTAAGCAAGCAAAACGTCGATGTTGCTTGCATCTCAGAAACATTCCTAAAACCAAACTCAAAAATTGACTCGCATCCAGACTACGTAATTCATCGATTGGATCGCGTGGATAGACCAAAGGGTGGTGTTGCAATCATCGTCAAAAGAAATCTAAAACATCAGCTTCAACCAAGCTACAACACAAAACTAATGGAATGCATTGGAATCAAAGTCTTCATCAATGACACGGATAGTTGTCACATCCTCTCAGTCTATCTCCCAGGAGGAAGCAAAGGAGGGGAAATAGATCTACATCTGAGAGATGACATCAACAAAATAACAAATCTGAGAGGAAATTACTACATCTGTGGAGACTTCAATGCAAAACATCGAGAATGGAACTGCAACGTTGCAAATAAATCAGGAAATATTCTTCAGGAAATGTCAGGAGAGTTCATGATCTACTTTCCTGACTCGCCAACGTACTACCCAGAAGATCGAAACAAATCAGTGTCAACAATTGACCTGATGCTCTCGAATTCCAACCTCGAAACAACAGAACTTCAATGCACAGAGGCAATGAGTGATCACTGCGCTGTGTATTTCCAAATCAAAACATCAAAAATCGACAGAACTGAAAATACAGTCTACAGATATGACTACAAAAACGCAAACTGGAAAAAGTTCAAAGCACAAATTTCACGCCGCATTGAAGACAACATTGGAGAAAATTCTTGCAATACAACAGATGAGATCGAGAATCACATTAAGATTCTCTCTGAACTCATCATGGAAGCGAGGAACTCAAGTGTAAAAATGAAAAAGACCAAGTTCGAATCAACTAAACTCACACCGGAGATTAAAGATCTAATCAACACAAAAAGGAGTCTTCGTCGAAGATGGCAGAGAAGCAGAGATAATCAACTCAAATCTGAATTGAATTATCTGCAGAGAGTCATCAATGAGAAAATTAAAGAACTCAAAAACAAAAACTGGAATAAGCGTCTCTCAGAGATTCAACCGTCAAACCAAACAGTTTGGAGAATAGCAAAATTTTGCAAAAAAGGTTCAAAAACAATGCCTCCATTGACAAATCTGGGTAAAACGTTCATCACCAACAAAGAAAAAGCCAGCGCACTCAGCGAGTATTTTCGTGAAGCTCACGAAAATCCTCTGGAACAAAACGATCCACAACATACACAGGAAGTAAACAACACAGTCAAAGAAGCATTGGAACAAGACAATGATGAGAATCCAGAACTAACAGATGTAAACGAAATCGTGAGCATCATAAGAAATCTGAAAAATCCAAAAGCTCCGGGACTAGATGAAGTCAACAACATACTCATCAAAAATCTTCCTGAAAAAGGTTTCGAATACTTGAAATTCATCATCAATTCGTGTCTGAAACTCAACCACTTCCCCAAAGTTTGGAAACATGCAAAAGTGATTCCTATTCCAAAACCTGGAAAACCAGCAAATGAGCTAAGCAGCTACAGGCCAATAAGTCTCCTCAGCTCAATAAGCAAAATACTGGAGAGAGTATTACTGAATAGAATCAACGATCATCTTGAGGATAACAACATCATCCCAAACCAGCAGTGCGGCTTCCGGACTGGAAGATCAACATCTCACCAGCTCATCAAAGTGATCAAATCAGCAAAAGAAAACTTAAACAACAAAAAGTCAACAGGCATGATCTTCCTGGATGTAGAAAAAGCATTTGACAGAGTCTGGCATAACGGACTCTTGTACAAAATGCTCAAACTGAGATTTCCACTGCCACTTATAAAAACTGTAAGATCTTTCCTCAGTGAAAGATCTTTCGCAGTTTTTATTAAAGGTCAGTTCTCAGAAATCAAGGTAATCAAATTCGGAGTGCCACAAGGAGCAGTGCTTTCACCAACTCTCTACAACATCTTCACGTATGATGTTGTAAGAGAGACAACCAACAACATCGGTCTTTTCGCAGATGATACAGCACTGTATCATTCTGCAGAGAACTCGGCCGATATTGTGACACATCTACAGCACACAGGAAGAAAAGTTCAACAATACATGAACAAATGGAAGATCAACCTCAACAAACAGAAGACTCAAGCCTTATTCATCACAAACAGGCACTCCAGGCAACTACCAGGAAATAACATCAAATTTCTCAACGAAAACATCAAATGGGAAACAGAAGCTAAATATCTGGGAATGGTGATCGACAAGAGAGTGACATTAAAGCCGCATGTGGAGTATGTGACCAATAGGGCTCACACCGCATTAAGACAGCTTTATCCGCTCATCAGCAGGAACTCACAACTCGACGTACGAAACAAACTTCTCATCTACAAGCTAGCCATCAGACCAATATTCACATATGGTTGTCCAGCGTTTGGAAGCATGGCAAAAACCCATCTTCAAAAACTTCAAGTACTGCAAAACAAATTCTTGAGAATTGTTCTCAATAAAACAAGATATGAAAGGATCACCGATCTTCATACAGAAGCGAAAATACCGTCCATCGAAGACTACGTCGGAAAGTTGCAAGCGAACTTCAACAGTCGTCTTGCATCTCAAAACACCGAATAAATCAAATGAAATACAAAAGAAAGTAAAATCCGTAAATGAAATCAAAATTAAGAGACAAAAGGCAAATTGAATGCCTGAAACCTTAAAACAAAAAGCAACAAAATGTATAGAAACTTTGTACATACTTAAATTTAAATGTAAATAAGAAGGTGTTGATTGAAGTTCTGATCACAATTGACTGAACCTATTTTTAAAAATATCCAAAGTATTTCAAAATATCTATTTAATAACTAAACAAAATACATTGATAAGATCACACAACAATGTAAAAGATATAGTCTACTCATTGCATGATAAGAAGTTCCAATTAAATCTATTTCCATTAATATTTAATAAGATTAAGATAAAACCAACACAATTCAACCATAAAAACAATAAAGGATATTATTAGAGCAAATGCCCATAAATTAAATCCAAATAATAAATCATTTAATGAAAAATGATTTAATATCCTTGCTTCTTTTGTCTGAAACATCTTTAAGTGTGTCTTGTAATTTGATTGTTCAATTGAATGCGTCATTATACCATTTGATAAAAGTCCTTGTAAAGTTTCGTCAGCCAATTGATAAAGAAAATTGTGCTTAAACATGAAAAAGCTGTTGACTGTTGAATAAAGATTTTCTTTTAAATAAATATTCTTGGTCTGAGTTTGAAATTGATATAGTTCAAGGATGTTGCGAAAATTACAAAACGCGATTTTGGATGAACTGTCATTAATTCTCTGCAATACGGATTCTTCAAAATCAAACATTGACAGGAAAGTCGTTTGTGATCTGAAATTTGTAAAATAAATATTTATTGAATTTAAACTGAGTCAATCTTAGTTTTTTGCTTACAAATATTCTGGAATGAATGCTTTCAGTGAATCACCAATCGCATCTATAGCGTGAATTGAATAATTCCTCAAATACAACTCATGAAATGTTTCAGGAAGTGGCTTCTTTATATCAGCAGCAATCATCTCAAAAAGTACACCTTGATATGCAGTTCGAATCACCAAACAGAACAAAATGAATGTGATGAGAATTATTCGAGAAAAGTTCTTAAATGGAACTTGAGTTTGGGACATTCCGAAGAATATTCCGCCAACATTAACTGCTGGTGTCATAACATTCTCTCCATAAACAAGATCTTGAACTTTACAAGGAAGCATATTAACCACAAATATTAAAATGAATGTAAATCCAAACACAATGAGTAGATAAATCCATGTCCAATAATCAAATGGGAATATAAGTTTCTCATATGAACCATAAGACTCAGCTAGAGTAAGAAGACACGATACTTTTTCCTCTCCAAATAAAGTCAGAAAGTGTATATGATCAAAACCAGAAAACGCTAAAATCGCCCTTTGAAAATGAGCATTAGGTCTTATAATTATCCCATCTTTAGGAAGCTCTTCAACATATTTCTTGGAATCTGGATACTTTTTAATGAAAACCAATTGATAATTGTATGTAAAATTTCCAGTATATGCCATTGCTTTAAACAGGTCTACAATTGGACCAGTAGGCTCGAATGTAAACCTATCGATTGATGTCATCATATAATCCACGACTAATTTGACTGTAAGCATGCAACCATGGAAATTCTTAAACTTTTCATTAATTACAAGTTCTTTTTTCCATTTTATAGATTTTTTGTCAAACGAATTGATTTTGAAAAATTGAATAGTTGAACAAATTTCTTGGGTGTACCACTCAACTGTATAAAGGTTGACAGATGCATTTTCGTTCATCAAATAGTATTGAAAGTTTGCCGAAAATCCTTTATTTTCACCCAAAAATCAAACAGCTGATAAATCCATGTGATCAAACTCCTCACAATACATCAAGAAACTTATACGATGAGGATATGGACTCTCTAAGCTAGCCTTAGCATTCAATTCATTTACAGTTTGCTCATTTGCAACAAAAATCACAGCCGATTTATAAATCTTGTGATCCCAAAGGTCAGGCTGAATATTATGAATCTTTTCAGCGAAATTTCCATCATTTTTCATTTCAATCATGTTCATTATGTCAATTGAATTCTGTGTCAGGTTTCCATACATCAAAATATCAAAATGCATTTGATTCTTAATAAACAGCTCTTGAATTAAATCAGTTATTGCTTGAGACATGACATCTAAGTCATGAATTATTGCATTTACTGCAACTTGAAATGATAATAACAACAGAATTATTGATTTCATTTTTTATTCACTACAATGTGCTGCCTCCTTCAAATTCTGACCTCAAATGAATGAAATTTTTCTATTTAAGTTTTTTAACAATTAACGATTAGATGCTTACAAGCCTAAAAGTAGCACATGTGTCAATTAAAATAATTAAAAAAATATATGAATCGTCTAATTTACTACAACGGTTCTATTTGTTCTAGAATAAAGGATAGGATTCAGGTTGTACCAATATAGTTCTACCATAAAAACAATAAACGATATCAAAAAGGCAAAGATCCACATATTGAATCAATATGATAAATCGTTTAATGTAAATTGGATTAATGATTTAAGTTCTTTGGCTTGATATGCTCCTCAGCTAGTTCGAAAATTATTGAATTCAATTGCTTGTATTATTATTCCATTTGACAGGATTATCTGCAATGTGTCATCAGCTAATTGATACAATAAATTGTACTTATTGATATCCGTCCTCCACTTTCATCTAAATATGTAGGAACTAATATTTCATCTAATATTTCAAGCTTTCGCTATAGATCAAGAAGCTTAGACGATGAAGAAATGAACTTTCCAAGCTTGCGTTTCCATTAAGTTGATTTAAAATCTGATCATTTGCAAGAAAATCACTGCTGTTTTGTAAATCTTGTGATCTCATGAGCAAGATTGAATCTTATGAATGCTTTTTGCATCATTTTTCATTTCAATCATGTTGTTTATGTCCAATGAATTACGAATTTTCCATACATGAAAATATCAAAATGAATTTTGTTTTTAATGAACAGTTCTTGAATAACATCACTGATAGCTTGAGATACAATTTTCAAGTCAGATGCAATTATATTTATTGTAGTCAAAAGCATCAATATTTAAAGTTTCATTTTTACAAACAAAATATTCATTTATTTTTTGACTCTGTGTCCTTTCCTGTTTAAACTTCAAATGAATGAAATGGTTTTAGCTTATATTCTTGTTCCTTAGTGGAATATAATGAAATTGTTTTTCTTGTACACAATAAAATTGATATAATCTTGAAATGACTTCCGAATTTTTGTTAATATCCAGAAACATAATATCCAGAATATTTCATGTTCACAAACACGATTGGATTCAAAGAAATTGATCAACTCATAGCTAAGTTTTTGACATCCATTCCTTAAATTAAGGTTTAAAGAAAATTGAAATCAAAAGATTAAATCAATTAATAAATTTTATTCAATATTTTTTTTGTATTGTTCCTTAAAAATTAACTTAAAACACCAAATGTTATTTAAGATAAAGATTATTTAAGTTATAAAATGTATGTCTTCACCAGCAGCTGAGAACATAAATGTTGACATTTCAAGAAATGCATTATATTCCATAATCATTCCATCCTTAGGAAGATTTTCAATAGCTCTTCCTTCTTCATCATCACTGGGCATCAAGCGAAGCAATTGATAATTGTACATAAAATTTCCAGCATGTGCCATTGCCTTAAATAAATCCACAATTGGTCCAACAGGTTCGAGTGTAAATCTATCGATAGTTGTCACCAAATATCTCGAACCTAATCTAATTGTAAGCATACATCCATGAAAGTTTTTATACTTCACATATACTTTACATATACTTCACAAGATCCGTTTACCAATTTCTATAATTTTTGTCAAATGAATTAAGCTTTACAAGTTGCTTTTTGCTGCACTCGTTCTCTGTGTATCACTCAAATGTAAATAAGTCTAGAGACGAAATTTCATTAGTCAAATGAAACTGATAATTTGGAATACGTCCACGGAAACTATTTAAAAACTAGTATAGTCCCCCGTCAAACATCACGGGAAAAAAACATATAAAATAAAATATTGAAAAAATCCGCCATTTTGAATTTTTAAGATACTGAAAAGGGGGCGTGAAATCACTGGAAAGAAATTACTACAAATGTGGTAGAATATTATATAGATGTAGGTGCCAAAATTTTCATTTTATTTGGAATATGATTTTCACAAATCATCAAAAAAAAACTTATACGATGAGAATATGGTTTATCCAATTAAGAATTAATGATCAATTGATTTATGATATCCTCATGTGTTCCAAAAATCACTTGTGATTCCATTATTCAGGATGTAACTTTCGAATCATTTCGGCGAAATTTAATTCATTCTTCCCTTCAATCATGTTGATCAGGTCCAAAGATCTACGAGTTACATTTTCGTACATTAAAATATCAAAATGGATTCGGTTCCTAATAAAAGGCTTTTAAATTAGTTCAGTTATTGCTTGAGACATGACATCTAAGTCATAAGCAATTGAGTTCATAGTAACTTGTAGTGCAAATAACACGAAAGTCAAAAAATACATTTTTTACAGAACTATAGAAGAAATCCTTTGAAATGACTAGTTCAAATTCCAAACTAAAGGAATAAAATGGGTATTTTATCTAAAAAAATCAATAAAGTGGGCGATAATCTCATGTTTATAAATACATGAAATGCATTCATATTAATAAGTAAATTTTTGAAATAAGGCTGTCAATTTTTTAATAGATGTCGTTCATTATACTTAAAAAGTTTTTTGTTCGAATGTGAAAATTTGGAAAAAATGTTGAAGAATATCCAGATTTATTAAAGTATAAGGACTATTAAAATGACAAAATGGCCGTCATTTATGAACGACCCATAACACAAGATCTAAAGCAGAAAATTTTATACATTTAAATTTCCTTGTTCTTTTATTCTTCTCTTGAATTAAATATAGGGCTTAAGTAGTACCAACATAATTCTAACATAAAAGCAACATATGATATTATTGTTGCTAATATACACAAATTAAATCCATAAGATAAATCATTAAGTGTAAATTGATTCATTGGTTTAACTTCTTTGACTTGAAATGTCTCCAAGTTCATACAAAAATCATTAAATTCAATTGCGTGCATCATTATTCCATTTGACAGGAGTCTCTGCAATGTCTCATCAGCTAATTGATACAAAAAGTTGTGTTTCAAAAAGTAATAGCTGGACAGCGTTGAGTATAGAGTCTCATCTAAATATTCATTTTGGGTTTGGGTATGAAAAAGGCATGATTCCAGAATGTTGTGATAGTTACAAAAGGCCGTCTTAGCTGAACTGTCATCAATGTTCTTAAAAATTGATTTTTCAAATTCTTCATAGTTTAAAATCTCGACATTTAAGCTAAAAATTAAATAATATAAAAAAATAATTATTTTTTGAATATTTGACAAAAGGACTTAAATCATTATTTCTTACAGCTCCGTTTTTTCTAGTAATTCTAGAATCGCATATTTCGATATATCAACTGCCTGAATCGAATAATTGTTGATGTACAAATCATGAAATGTTTTTGGAAGTGGTTTTCGGATGTCAGCAGCAACCATTTCAAAAAGAACACCTTGATATGCAGTTCGCATTACCAAACAAAATAAAACAAATGCTGTAAGGATTATTCTTGGAAAGTTCCTGTATGGTTCCTGCATTTGTGAAAATCCAAAGAAAATCAATCCAACATTTAGGGCTGGTGTCATAACGATTTCGCCATAAAAAATATTTTGAACGCTTCCTGGGAATTGGTTGATGATGATTATCGATAAAAATATAAATCCGAATACAGCAAGTAAATAAATCCATGTCCAAAAGTCAAATGGAAAAATAAGCTTCTCATATGAATCGTATGGCTCACTTGGCGTTAGAAGACAAGACACTTTTTCCTCATTAAATAAAGTTAGAAAGTGGAGTTCATGACCAACAGCAGAAAACATGAAAACTGCCATTTGAAGATGCGCATTATGATCCACAAGCATCCCGTTCTTTGGAATATTGTCAACAGTTCTTGACAAATCATAATCAAAACTAATTGTATAAAGTTGATAATTGTAAGTAAAATTCCCAACATGTGCCATTGCCTTAAATAAATCCACAATCGGTCCAACTGGTTCAAACGTAAATCGATCGATAGTCGTCTTCATATAATTAGCTCCTAATCTAATTGTAAGCATGCAGCCATGAAAATTCTTAAACTTTTCATTAATTACAAGGTTTTTAGTCCAATTTTTGGATTTTTTATCAAATGAATTAAGTTTTACGAGTTGTCTCTTGCTGCATCTTGTTTCAGTATTCCATTCAATAGTAAACAAGTCCAAAGATGATGTTTCATTTCTTAAAAAGTACTGAAAATGTGGGATCGATCCTATTTTTTCAGTTAACAATACTGGAACCATTAGCTCTTTTGAATCATTTTCATCGAGGTATTCACAAATTGTCAAAAATCTTATCGGATGTGGAAATGGACTATCTAATTTTGAATTTAAAATTAAATAATTTAAAGATATTACATTTTCCACAAATATCACTGCTGATTTATAAATCTTGTGATCCCACAAGCGTGGCTGTATTTTCCTTATCACTTCAGCAAAATTTTCATCATTTTTCATTTCAATCAAGTTGATTAGGTCCAATGAATTCTGTGTCAGATTTCCATACATCAAAATATCAAAATGGATTTGATTTTTAATATAAAGCTCATGAATTATATCACTTATAGCTTGAGACATGACATCTAAGTCGTTTGCTATTAAGCTCTTAATAATTTGCAATAAAAAAATTATCAACGATGAAATTTTCATTTTTATTCTCGTCTTTATTAAGAAATACGGCGATACAGCTAAGTACTGTCTTACTCAAGTCAACCTTATTGAAATCATGGTTTGTCAATAAATACTAATAAAGTCAATAATTGTAAATTTTGTGTGGGAATATCCTTACAAGATGCCACACCGATCTAATCATCGACAATGTATTTATTCATACAAACAGATTAAGATAGCATAAACAGGCATAAACAAGTTAATTCTTAGAATAAAATGTCAAGAATGTATTAAGCAGGAGTTTTCGTGCGTGGTGCAAATGAAAGAATTGAGCTCACTTTTGACGTTTAAAACAAAAAATTTGTATTTTAGCGTCTAAATTGGAAGTCTCAAAGTTACAGAAATGAAGCTTTTAGTAACTCAAATCAATAAACAATTTAAATAATTAAAACTAAGAATCATTTTATTTACAGAATGGATTTAAGTAAAACCATGAAATTTCGACCATAAACACAATAAACGATATTATAGAAGCTAATATCCACAAGTTGAATCCATACAAAAGATCATTTAATGAAAAGCTAGTTGTTGGCAAAATGGTTTTAGCTGTGTTTTTTTCCAATCGTCTTATGTATTTAAAACTTTCAACTGAATGGTTTATGATACCGTTTGACAATAATCCTTGCAAAGTCTCATCGGCTAGCTGATACAGAAAATTATGTTTTTTGAAGAAATAACTCGACAATGTTGAATACAGAATCTCATCTAAAAATATCTTATTACTTTGCGTATGAAGCAAAAGTTCTTTGAGAACATAATTGAAATTACAATATGCAATTTTTGAAATGTCCTTATTTAAGCTGATATATTTTTCGAATAAATCAGCATCCAAAAACATAATTCTTGGGCTATAATATTGATAGAGAGAAGTTTTTAAAAATTAAAAAATTATTTTGCGTTTAATGTCTACCGATTGTCTCTTGCAAGTTTAACTAAGTTTAGCAAAGTTTTAAGTCTATTGCAGAAAAAAATCCTTTGCCTATTCAGATTAATACTGATCCAGAGGTGCGCTAGAGCAATTTGAAGCTAATTGGAGATTAACAAGTGGCGATGCGCCAAACCACTGACACTCTAATCTAGAATTTATCTGAACTTAACAACTTCTTTTATGGCATTGCAGTCTGTAGCCTACAAGGGAAGGCTGTGAGCTTCATTTTCAGTAAATATATCTCGAAAAAGTACAAGCGAAAAATTTCCCATGGACTGGATTCGAACTAATGTGTCGGTTTTGCAATAATTGAGTACCAAAGTACAAAACTATTCCACCTCCGAGCCACTTTAGCTCACATACAAAAGCATTTCATTTACAACAAGAATGTGTAGATTAAATATTTTTAATTCTAGGGTCAAATGGTCTCAGTTGGATACCAATGGCAAGAGAAATTAGGTAGAAAAATCACTTAAAGTTGCAACATAACATAACACATCCATAACAATATAAATGCAGTGTTATGGTATATTAAATAAATTTCAAATTTCTGATTCATACCGTTCTTCTTTTGTCAGTAAACTTGTAATTGAATCCTGAAGAATATTAATAGAGTATATGGAATAATTGTTGGCAAACAATTCAGCAATAGTTCGTGGCGGTGGTTTTCTTATATCAGCAGCAATCATTTCAAAAAGTACACCTTGATATGCAGTTCGCATTACTAAGCAGAAAAAAATGAATGTAATGAGTATTATTCGTGGAAAGCTTTTAAATGGAACTTGAGTTTGTGACATTCCAAAAAATATGGCTCCAACGTTTAATGCAGGTGTCATAACATTCTCACCATAGACAAGATCCTGAATTTTTACAGGAAGCCAGTTGATTATTAATATTGACAGGAATGAACACTCAAAAATAACAAGTAGATAAATCCATGTCCAGAAATCAAATGGAAACAATAATTTTTCATATGAGTCATAAGGTTCACTTGGAGCTATCAGAAATGAAACCTTTTCCTCGTGAAATGAAGTCAAAAAGTGTATTTCTTTATACAAAAGTGGAGAAGACTTTAAAACAGCAATTTGAAAAGCAGCATTGGGTTCAATTACAGTTCCATCCTTAGGAATATTTTCTTTAACAAGTTTGTTATTCTCATCGGGTAAATAAAGATAAAGTTGATAATTATAAGTAAAATTTCCAACATACGCCATTGCCTTAAACAAATCCACTATTGGTCCAAAAGGTTGAGATCCAAATCTATAAATGTTTGTCATCATATAGCTTGGCCTTAATCCGACTGTCAACATACATCCATGAAATTGTTTGAATTTTTCTTCAATTACTAAATTTTTGTTCCAAGATTTTGATTTCTTGTTGAACGAGTTTACCATTACAATTTGATCGTTGCTACAATCTTTCTCTGTGTACCACTCTATAGTTAATAAGTCTATTGAAGTTTTATTATTATTTAAAAAGTATTGATAGATTGAAATCATTCCTTCATCAGGATTTAAATTAAATGGAACATATAACTTTGCTAAACTAGTTTCATTTAAATCTTCACAATACATCAAAAAGCTGATTCGATGAGGGAATGGACTATCTAAAGTTGCATTTAAAACCAAATGATTGACCGTGTTCATATTTTTAGTAAAAATCACTGCTGATTTATATATCTTGTGGTCCCACAATTCAGGTTCGATTTTTCGAACCTTCTCAGCAAAATTTCCATCATTTTTCATTTCAATCATGTTGATTAGGTCCAATGAATTACATGTCAGGTTTCCATACATTAAAATATCAAAATGGATTCGGTTTTTAATGAAAAGTTCATGGATTAGATCAGTTATTGCTTGAGACATGACATCTAAGTTATATTCTGTTGCGTTTATAGCAAATATCAATGAAACTAGCACCAAAGTTGACAATTTCATATTTTATTTAAAGCTCCTCAGTTTTATGTCCTTTTGAGTTGAAACTACAAACACAAATGGTGAATCAGATTATTTTTACTTCGTAGGCATAAACAATACAGCAACACGAAACATCAAAGATATCTATCTACAACTTATTTTTTGTTCCTCATTCAATAAAATGGATTAAGATAAAACCACAACAATTCGACTATAAATACAACGAATGATATATCAAAGAAGCTAGCCACAAGTTAAATCCATATGACAAATCACTTAATGAGTAATGGTTTTATTTTGAAATTTCTAATGTTCGACAATAACCTTTGCAATGTTTCATCAGCCAAATGATATTTAGAAATTGTTAAGCAAAACTTGAGAGCATATTAAATATCTTACCTAACTTCTTTTGGATAAAACTCGTCAGTGTTATTATCCAAAAAGGACTGGAACATTGGAACAATTCCAAATCAAAGCATAGGAACAGGAGCTATTACATAAATGTAAATCATCATTGCCAATATTTTCACAATAAATTAATATTAATACTTTAACGAATATCACAGCAGATTTATTTATTTTATGATTCCACATTTCAGGCTATATATCCTTTGAATATTATCAGCAAAATTGTCGTTAACTTTCATCTTCAGCATCAAGTTTCCATAAATTACAATGTCAAATCTAATTTGATTCTTAACGAAAAGCTCTTGGATTACATCATTAAATGCTTCAGATATGACGATTAAATCATAAGCAGCTGATATAATCCTAAATTGGCAAGGGCCAGACTATCCAAAAGAATTGTAAGGATTGTAAAATTCTTCAAAATCCATATGAAAGGATTGCAAGAATTTTATAATTCAAATTTGTTTGATATTTGTAAATTTTACTTTCCATATAAAGATTGTAAGAATTGTAAGGATTGTACAATCTTTTTTTTTGATTACAGCTTCCAAATTCATCACAAACACACAATAAAAAGTTTTCAAACGAAATAAAAAATCATCAAAGCAAACATTTCATAGATTCACAATCAACTTTTTCAAAACAAATTTTCTGTGCAACAAATTTCTTTTTTATTTGGATTCAAAACTGACTGTCATCACCTTCAATAATTAAAGCAGAATGACAAGGAAACGAGAAATTTCATTCTTTAATGATGAAAGCAAAAGATTTTTGGGTGAGTTAAAATCAAAAATTTATCGCTCCAATCTAAAGCAAGTTCTTTTATCATTAGTGCTAGATGTTTATCAAGAGATAATTGGAACAGGACATTGGAGCAAGAAAGTACATTGGAGCCACAAAAGATTAGAAAATTTCAAAAATCTCATTGTGTTGACCTACCATCCATCATCCTATAATCCACTTCTTATTTGCAACAAAATTGAACACATTATTAATTTTGATTTAATTTGTTCCATTTTAGGTTTCACTCATCGACAGCGATTCTCATCAATTGGCGACGTGCAATGCAGATCAAACAGAGAAACTAAAAAGATTTCAAAGGAAGTCTTCCAACAATACTTTTTTCGAAAGTAAGTACCGTGTCATATTCGCAGATTGAAAGTCATATCATAAAAGAATATTCTATTTTGAGTTCGGAAAGCTTTTCACAACTTTTACTTTTAACTTTCATAAAATTTAACACGAAAGTTTGTATAATGCACATATCTGTTAATAGGACACTTTTATTATTGAAAGTGGTAGTCAAGTTTGCTTCCTTACATTACATAAACCTTATCATAACAAAGCTTAAAATATTGTGCTGCAAGAATTGTGAGACAATCTTTGAACATTGAAAAGGAAGAGAAATAGCATACAACAAAATCAAATGGTACTGCATCAATTAATCAACATTTTTATCCAAGATGCAAGCAAATGCATCAGCATCGAATTTTATGTACAATCAAAATTGAGACTAAGAAGAGATAACATCACATCCACACTTCAAATAGCTGAGACAATAAGGAAAATAGACGGAATAATAATAATAATGGATCAAGAGACGGTAAGAAATAATTTAATTAATGTTGAGTTGCAATTTTACCAATACCATACATATCTTTGTTTTAGACGGCGATTAACATTTTTATAAAAGCAGAAGTGGACATCATCATCGAGCAGGAGAGAAGGAACGTGAGAAACAACACAAAATATATGAAGAAAGACATCAAAGAAGATAACTGGATATAAAGGAGGAAGATTAATTGGTAGGTGACACTTTTATTTCATATTTATTGTCTAGGAAATCAACCATCATTGCTAGAAGAAAGGAATTTCATCTCCAAACAAATTATACATGGTTTTTGTGCCAACAATTGATAAAACATCAGATCCACCACCAAATTGAATGGGTTTTAATCCTAGAACGGTACCAAACAGAGAAACAGCATTCAACGAAATCAAAAGATGCTGCAACATCTTATCAATAATTATATCTAAGATACAAGCAAATGCACCAGAATCGAATGGCATGCAGAATCAAATCCGTAGGAAGAATAATTCAAATCAAACTAACAAGATGGTGATTTTTTGAGACTTAGAGAAGATTGAATCACTTCAAGCCTACAACATACAGCAGAGATGATGGACGGAATAATAATGATGAATCAAGAGAAGGTAAGCAATTTATTCATTAAGGTGCCATTACAATTATACTAATGTCATGAAATTGTATGTTTAGGCTGGATTTTTTAATATTTTAAGCAGGAGGAGAGGATATTATCATCATTTGAAAGAGCAGTAACGTGAGAGGCAACGCAAAATGTGGAGAGAAAGTCATCAAAAAGGATAACTGGATAAAAAGGAGGAAATTTTAACGGTATGGAACAAATCTTTTTAAAAATTTAATTTATACCAGCAAATTTTTTTGACTGGTTTTTTTCAGCTTTATAACTTTAAAATATAAAAATGCCCCATCGTCCTGCCCAATTTTTTTTCGGTTCTTAGAGTTTAACTTTTTTTGAACATTTTTCAAAATTTATAAAGCAAGGAGAATTATCTGTTAAGTTTGTTAAAAACAGAGATTTACTCAACCTTTATTTCAATCCACTAAAAGGTTTCAACAAGCTTCATCAAATATTAGGTATCGTGATCAAATGGACATAGAAATGAAAGAAGAACAGCATAAAACAAAATGTCAATTCTATCCAAGATGCAAGCAAATGCATCAGCATCGAATTTTATGCACAGTCAAAATAATAGGAAAAGATGTTCAAATTCAACTATTAAGATGACGATTTCATGAGACTTAGACGAGATAACATCACATCTAGACTTCAAATAGCTGATTCCATAAGGATAATAGACGGGATAATAATGATTTATCAAGAAACGGTAAGAACGATATTCATTAATATTAAGTTGCAATCATACTAATGACATGCATATTTATGTTTTAGGCTGGGATTAACATTTTTACTGTAGCAGAAGTGGACATCATCATCGAACAAAAGAGAAGGAACGTGAGAAGCAACGCAAAATGGATTAAGAAAGCAATCAAAATGGGTAACTGGATATAAAGCAGGGATATGGAGTATATTTTTTATTGTAAGTTGTATTTTTTTTTTTCATTAACATTTTTAAAACCAGTCATCCTTTTTGACTGGTTTATTTTAATTTTTACTACTGTGAAAGAAGAAAATGCCCCACCGTCCTGCCCAATTTGTTTTTCGGCACTTAAACTTCTTATATTCAGGCAATCTTTTATCAAAATTACTACAGCAAGAAGAATTGTCCGAATTGTTTGATAAAGGTTGAGTCTTGTCATTGTTATGAATTGTCGTCAAGATGCTGTTAATGAGTTTTTATCTAAGAACGGTTCCAAATCAATAAGCATCATGAAATGAAATGAGTGGTGATCATATGGACATTAAATGGAAGAATAACAGACTTCAATTAAATCAAATGATGCTAAAACTATTTTTACAACTCTATCCAAGATGCAAACAAATGCATCAGCTTCAAATATCACGCAGAATTATCAGTTTCCAGATCTATTACAAATTTACAATTAAAAGTTTTCAAACAGAAAAAAAATCATCGTAGCAACATTTCATAAATTCACACTTTTTCACAACAAATTTTCTGTGCAACAAAAAAATTCTTTTTTAATAGCAAGGAAGCAAGAAATTTCATTCTAAAATGACATCCAAAGCGATGAGCAATTTGAAGAATTTTTGGAGCAAAATGTTTTGCTGTGTAAGTTGAAAATCAAAACTTTATCGCTCGAATCTAAAGCTTCTTCTTTTTGTCATTAGTGCTAGATATTTATCAAGAGATGTATGGACGATGTGTAAGTCTACAAAGTACATTGGAGCAACAAAAGGTTAGAAACTTTCAAAAATCTCATTGTGACCAAAACCTTAATTGATATTTTTCTACATCCTCATCCACTTCATATTTGCAATTAAATTGATCACATTATGAGACATGTCCATAAAAATTTAATACTAAAGTTTTAATCATGATCATATCTCTTTATTGAACACTTTATAAGTGCTTTATGAATGATCCTTTAAAAGATTGAATTGAAATTTTTTGAAGGGCATAAGTGAATGGGTTGGAGTATTAAGGTCAGGTTTGTCTAGTGTCTATTGATGATCAGCTTTTGTCATCATGATCTTTTGTGATCATTGAGAGTCTCAAAATTATCGTTTATATCTTACCTTCCAGATTTTGTAGGAAGGTTCATCTATGATTTATTAGATAAATACTATTTTAAGACAATCTGGATCGTGAATATCTCTTTATCTGAGACTTATGATATCCAAATGTTTTCATAAATGAATTTCTATTCTCGATTTAAAAAAAGTTTACATTCTTTTCAAAATCTCCAGAACTTGTTTTGTGATAAAAGTCTACTATTCAGAGAAAAGTGATTTCCACCACTCAATTTGGGTTCTTAATTTTTCAAAGCATCCTCTTAAAGGAGTTGTGTTATAACC